TATATATATATATATATATATATATACGTATATATCTTCCCTTCGTTTTCTTTGGCATTGTGTCAACCTTATCATCATCCCTTCGAAAGTGGCGAAAAACGTGTCCCCCTTGTGAATCCCTTAAATTTCATTGACATGCTACGTTACACATACCTTTTCTGTGCGTGAGCCATACTCAAAAATATATTTCCCGTGCGCGAGAACTAAATACTACATGCAATGATTGTAATGTAGGTATTATGATTATTACTATTATTATTATTATTATACGATCGAGCTTGAAATTTATTTGGAAGAGAGAAAAAAAGAAATAAGAGAAAAGAAAAAAGGTTGGGCACGACAATTAATATTTAATTTATGAAAATGTATTTGATCTGAAAATTATTTGTATCGGCGTTTATTCACAATCGATCATGGTTCGTCAGTAAATGCTTTGTCAAATATAAAATTAAATATCGATGGGAGTTTTTAATAAAGTTTTATTAAGCATAAATAATCAAGAGTATCCAACTTATACGCTTCACATGTACGCATATCGTTGTAATTTATTCAACTCAACGAAATTGACACTTACTTTATTGTTTACTTTCTTCGCCTTTCTTTGCTACTACAAGTGAAAGAGCTTTTCATACTGACCTGCGAACGATAACCCAAAAGTACTATCGTCAAAATAGAAAGAATGGTAAACAATTTCATAACGTTCGTTTCATGATTTTCATACAATTAATCTTTCAATGCCATGAATGACGATAAAGGAAAATGAAGTCAACGGAATCGTAGGAGTAACGTAAGATATTAATGAAAAGAAACTACAAGCCTGGTTATTTGTATTTACGTTATCATTCGAGTAAGCTGATAAAGATACTCGACACTCTTTGCTTATCGTCTTTTTTTTTTTTTTTTTTTTATATTTCTTTCTCAAATCAATAAGCGTTTTGCCGCGAGCATCCCAAATAGTTATGGCCATGACCTTAGTAGCCACTAACGGAACTGATTTCGTTGCCGATGCATTTTGTCCTACTATTGACATATCGACGACTTTTTCGATTATAACTGTAATAAGAAATCTCTGCCCCGGCGACAAACATCTCTTTGGATTTCAGTCAAATAGCTCGAGCCATCATTAAAATCGAATAACCGCCATATAGTTACTTTTATTTTAATTTAAATAAAACGTTATATCGCGTAGATTGTTAGTGAAGGAATTCATTTTTTATCGGGTTCGGGCATTAGTTCTTCTTATTTTATGAGTCATCATCCGCAGACTTGGTTTCATCAAATAGTCATTTGAAAGGTTAAGTAGTCTTTATGCCTATTCAGCCATATCTAAAATCACTGACCTCATTATAAACTGTTTCGAAAGAAAATGCATATTCATCAATATATTTATATTTGGATATCTGCAAGTATCTTATCTTTTATAAAATAATACTCAATAATACTCATACGATCCGCAAACTTTATTTCCAAATGCAGAAAATTAATCATTGAAATCAATGGTTGAAAAGATGCTGACATTTTCATTTATTATTTGTTGTCTTATTTTGTTGTCATTTTTCTCCTTTTTCGTCCATCAAATTCAGGATTCCTGCATTTGAATAAACTTCCTTGTAGCGCCATCTATCTGATTTGACACCGACTTGTTAAATAGTCCTCGTAGCGAACAAATAAGTACATTCAAGCAATACTACACATCACCATCCCTTATGTTATATAGAATAAACGCTGAACGATCTGCAAAGCTATAATTGAAAAATTGTATTTTGTGTGTATGTTCGTATTTATACATGTATGTGTATATATATATATATATATATATATATATATATATATATATTTTTTTTTTTCTTTTTTCTGTATCATAACATCAGGCACTAAGATAAAAGGGGAGAATATCTTCTCTTACCCTATTTGCTTTCATGCAAAAAAAATGTAAGGGTAGAGATCTTGAGGACGAGTATAATACGTGTGAAAACTACCTTTTAAATTCCCATGACAAAGTGATTGTTTGCGTTGTTATCCTCAGCGATATTAGTCAGGCGTTAAAGATATTTGAGTTACTTAGCGAGTGAAAAATGTTGATAAGGACATTCACATTAAATGCTTGAAGCAGTTTACTTTCTTAAAGTCGATAAATTATTCGCAAAACAATCATTGAGATAATCATTTTCCGGAAACTTTGCAAAGTTTAAATAAAAAATATATTATGCAATTATATTTACGAGGCGAATAATTAAAAGCATTGTGTCGTAAGTAATTATGTTGGGAGATTAGCTTACAATGAATACTATCATTTGTAAGATATCATCTTTAAATATGTTGGGTATTATGAAAGATTAGAGAAATTGATATTTTAATTAACGACTAAACGTTAATTGTCACCTGCGTACAATTACGTGGTAAAATTATTTAAATTAAGGTCTTGTTGCGGCTATTTGAATGACGATACAATATGAATGTTTGCAATTGAAAATTATTATTCTCATAGATTAATTGAAATAAGATTGAAAAAATAATAAAAATCGTATTAAATTCGCAATAGTACAATTTATATATTTCATATTATATTTTTTCATGTTGGCCACGAATATCTATTTTATTAAAAAATTTCTTCACTAATTTGACAAAAATGAACAATATAAGAACGTCGATGCGTCCTGGGTAAATTATATTTATTATATTTAAATTATATTTACATGATCGATAAAAGATTATCAAAGTATGCTATGTACGGTTATACTTGTAACAAAAACTATCGGTATTGGTAATCTATATTTAAGTTTCAAATATATTTTTTATTTTAAAAACATAGCAATCGACAATGATATTTCTCAGAAAGAAAATTCTTCAAACTGTAAATTATGGAAAAATATTTACATAGAGCAAAATATTTATACAAACTGTTAATTTCCATTTTTATAAAATGTTTTAAGCCTTAGACAATGCTTTAATATACTCTTTACATGTACAATAATAATGCATATTTAATTGTGACAAACAATAGAATCGGTAAAAATTATATGGTGCGACACAACATTAATGTAAAAAAAAAAAAAATAATAATAATAATAATAATTTTATTGTTTATCGTAGAATATAAGAATAAGTTGCTTTTCTAATAAAATATAAAATATGATATAAGATTGTAACACTAGCAAAAGTCATATAAGGATTGAGATGAAAAAATTCGATTAAATTAATGCAGACAAAGGACATTTATTAAATCATAACTTTAAATGTCAATATGTATTACGAATGAAAAATAAAGAAAGAAAATTCATTCCTGATTGAACCAGTTGAATTACTTTGTAAACATACGTCAAATATCAATATGAAAGTAATAAATTTTTAACGTAAATTTTTAAATAAGAAATGCGTTCTATTTTTATTATTTAACCTCTTTGCACTTAGAACATCGTTATCCCATCCCCCCCCTCCCCCGTTCCACATTAATTATCGTTGACGTTTTATATCCATTTTTAAATACTTTATATTAATCTTTTAAATTATTGTATTTATTGTGTGAAATAATTAAAAAAAAATTTAATGACAAATGATACGCTATATTAATATAAGAACTGAAGAAATTAGAATAAAGAAGAATTAATATACATTGAAAAATATCGCTTAACATTATAATAATCACTTTATACATGATATATTGTTTGTCCCTTTTTTTTCTTTTATAAATGCCTATTATAGTAAACACTGCGTATATGAGTGTGCATGTACGTGTTTGTTTGTTTGTTTGTTTGTGTGTGTGTGCGCGCGGGCTTTCTCGCTCGTGTTTGTTATCCGTGTTGGATAAGAAATGGAAAAGTAATGATGAACCTGTTTTATGAAAATGCAATAAATTCTGTTCGCGTAAATTCAACGATTGACTCCAACAACATCGAAAGCATTTCGACATATAATTTTAATATAAAATTGATAAATTATAATTATATCATTCTTACCGACTATTGAATATTGCTAACTATTGAGATAATTAATTGAAAAATTGCTGAATTTTTATTGCCATATATATAAACAATTCGAGGCTTTGGATGTAGAGAATTTCTCGATTGGTGGAACAGACGCTCAGGGGCATAAGAAAAAACGATTAAGTAAGATTTCATTATTGACAATTACAATGTCGCTGCTACTTCAAAATTCAATTATATCTTCACACTTTATCGTAACGAAATAGTAAATATGTTAATCGATGTTGTCACGATGTAGTGGTTGGGACGGGGGGGGGGGGGGGAGGCTATGTATAAATCATGGGCAAATACTTAAGTCTACATACATAATAGAGAAGTGTCCGAGTAAATGGAAAATGATGTTACAGATGTATTGAATACGATTTTGAATTGTTGAATGTAAATGCAAGTTTCGCTGCGAGGCGGAAAACAAGATACGCTCGAACGTTTCACAAATCAGTAAATATTAATTTGACTGTGCCCAATAACATGATTTAAATGAAATTAATGGTATCGGCGAATGAGCAAGTCGAGGCATTAGCAATTGATAATTTTTCGAACTATGAGAAATGACGTGGGATCGCTGAATTTTTTGCGATTAATAAACGTCTGACAAAAAAAGCAAAAAATGCGGTATAAATGAAGGTAAGGTGAGGGAGCGCGAAGACCAAGACAAATCGGGACAAGCATAAGCAGGCCCCGTTCGCGCCTGGCTCGTGGGGTGGACGCGCGCGTGTGCGTGTTTATTTGCGAATGTGTATGGGTGCGTGGAGGAAAATATCGAGTGCTGGACCAACCTTATTCTGTCTCCGAAAAAGTCAACTTTGTTCTTTTTTTTGACGATGACTTGGGGCTGGTGCAAAGGACTGACGCTAGTCTCGCTGTTCGCCGGAGGCGAACTGGAGCCGGTGCTCGAGGAGAGACTCCCGGCTCGGATTCGAGTACCATCGATGGCCTGGGCGTCGCTACCCCTGAGGTTCCCATTGACGATGCTCCCGGCGTTCGTCGTCGTTGTAGCAGCGGTGGTGGCGACAGCGGCGGTAGTCGCGGTCGCGGCGTTCGGTCTCCCGTTCTGCCTGTTGCGCCTCTTCTTCTTCTTAGCCTCGCCGACCCCGATCCCGACCCCGACCCCGATCGAGTCCTCGCCGTTGTTTCTACCGGCAGCCACCCACTCGAGATCTTTCCTCAGGTGGCCGCGGCCGCACTTGCAGCTGCAGGCCATGAACACAAGATCATAGCCCTTCTTCGTCCAGAGGTTCTGGTGCCGCTGGCGCTCGGACCAGCATCTCGCCCTGCCGCAGCTCTTGAGGTAGGCTAAGACCGTCTGTTCCCAGGCGTCGAAGCACTCCCGGTGCATGAACTGGCCCGCTGCGCAGGTCTCGTTGCTACAGCTGACCTTGACGCAGTCCTGAATCGTCGAGAGGCGGATGAAGGTGTCGCCGCGGAGGCATTCGCCCGCCGGTGTGCAGCAGTGACCGAAGCAGGCGATCACCTGGCTCATCCCACGGTCCTCGAACGGGTCCAGCTGGCTGCTCATTGCGTTACCGTTCCCGTGGCGTCGCGGTGCCATTGCCTGGGAATCCCTTCGCTCTCCTCTCACACTGTCTCTTAATCTCTTTTTCCCTTGTCTTCCTCTTTCTCTCCTT